CTCATCCGATTTCAAAAATTCTTTCACCAATATTTAGAATGAAACCTCAGGGTGGACATAGGCTGTATATTATTCCGTTAAACATTCATATAAATTAAAATATATAATTTAGGTTAAGGCTTTTATGTCCAACAGATGGCGCTACGAGTACGATGCCCTAAGTTTGCTTTTCTGTGAGGTATTATGCTTTTCTGTGAAAATGAACTAAAGCAGATCATCTTCTATCTATCTATATAAATAAAAATGTAATGTTTGTTTGTTCCTACCGATTCCTTTGAAATTCTCACACAACGCTGCTTTTGAATACGCACGTGTTTTTATATAATATACGTGTCAAAATTTCCTCCACTGAAGGGAGATGGTTAAGATTAAGGCTTACCGTAAAGAACTCTGCTTCTATTTATACTATTTTAGATGTGGTTTTTTGCGTTTTAATAGGGTACATCAACAGAATGTACACTAAGAAAAAATTTTTCGAAAAATTCCCCCTCCATGGGGAAGTGTTATAAATTTATAATAGATACATTTTGAGCCACAACAACGCGTGGCGGGGTATGCTAGTAGACATAATAACCATACTGTCCAGCAATGGGCAAACAATGTAATAAATGCAAAGAATACAATCATTTTGCAAAAGTGTGTCGAAATAACATGATAAATGTACTGGAATTGACACCAGAGAGTGCAAACGACTACGTACTGGTGTCACTGGAAAGTAGAGGTAAGAACCTTGATCTAGACTGGTCACTTTTATCACAATCTAAAATTCTTACAGTAAGAATTTTAGATTGTGATAAAAGTGTTAGTTTTAAGATAGATACTGGTGCACATGTTAATGTAATCCCTGCATATATTTTTGAGACTCTTAATCTAAGAAGATTGCTAAAGAAAACGAATATTACAATTTTGAATTACGGTGGAAATAGATTAAAGGTGCTAGGAGTGTGTGATTTAACAGTATGAACTAAGGATAAGGTTAAGAACTTTTGAATTTTATAATAGTCAAGACAACTGACCAAGCAGCACCTATTTTAGAACTCGAGAGTATTCAAAAACTAAATTTACTACAGAGAAATCAAAATATTTTAGAAATAAAAATGGAAAGTGATTATTTTACTAAAAACAGGAATGTATTTGAAGGCATAGGCAGGATCAAAATAAAACCCTGTGAATTTAAATTAAAGGATGACTACAAGGCTGTGGTAGTTCCTACACATCGAGTACCATTTAACTTAATGAA